CGGGAGGATGTTGTTGGCTTCGCAGAAGGCGCTTCGACGGTTGGTGATGATCTTGATGGGGACCTTGCCTACGTGAGATAGTAGCGAAATCCCCCTGTAGTTGTTACAGTTGGACCGGTCACCCTTCTTGTACAGCACCTTGATGGTTGCATCCTTCCACTCTCGCGGGATATCTCCTCCGTTCCACACTTTGACGAGGATCGTATGGAGGTGTCCCAGGACGAAGGGTTCGTCGTCATCGATCTTGAGCAACTCGGCAGGGAGGGAGTCATGGCCGGGTACCTTCCAGCTCTTGAGGTATTTTGTTGCCCGTGCCACCTCCTCGAGGCCTGGCACCTCTCCCAACCGTCGAGTGTCACGTGTCGCTGGCCGCTGCGTCACTCGTCGATGATGTCTGGGTTCTGGGTGGGGGATTTGGTGTTGAGTAGGGCGCTGAAGAATCTCGCCCACCGCTGGAGGATGTCGTCCCTGTTCCGGAGCAACACGCCGTTCTCATCCGCGATGAACTGCTGTCCCCCCGGTTGTCTCCCGCTGAGGTCCACTGATCTCTTGAGGTGTTGGTACAGTCCTCGCATGTCGCGATCTTTGTAGATTTCTTCGAGCTCAGTCACATATCCGTCCAGGTGGGCATAAATGCCCGTTTCGACTGCTGTAGCCACTCCCTTACACGCTGCTTTGAGAATCTTCCACGTCGCTGAGTTCCAGTTGCCCCTCATCGCCCGGCGCGCTTCCCGACGTTTGGTAAGGGCCTGCTCCAGCGCTGCTCGCGTCTCTGGGGTCTCACACCACTCCTGCGTGCGGCGTCTCCGCGGTTCCTCCCCCAGGGTCGTCCGCGCTGCGTCGAGGAGAGCATTGGTAAAGTCGGTCGCCAATTCCGCGGCGGTGGTTGTTCGCTCGTCCAGTCGTGTGTCGAGGTTGAGGAGGAGCCGATTAGTCACCGCACACCGTGCTGCTTCGAACTGCAATTCCCGTCGGTTGAATTGCTTCTGTTTCGGTTTAGTCCGGACTGCACGGTTGTGGGCAAGCCTGCCACCGAGGTTGACGGTGGCTACTACCATGTTGTGGCTTGAGTCTGCTTTGACTGGGCGAACCGGCTGGGGGATGACGACCACGTTAGATACTCGGCCGTGATGTGCCTGCCTTGTCAGGATGTTGTCTAGGCGCTTGCAATCGTTTCCCGACACACCGTTGTATGTGTGCCATATTCCGCCCTTGCGTGTCTCAAAGAACGTGTTCGTGAGAGCTAGCCTGTTTTCCGTTGCGAAGTTCAACAGCAGCATGCCATTGTCGTTGAGCTCATCACGCCCGTACATTCCTATTACCCTTCCGTCCCCTCCGTCCAACCTATCTCCCGTCCGCGCGTTGGCGTCCATTAGGACATACACAAATTATTTGGAAGGGTTCCTCCTCACGAGACCGTCAAGTTTTCCCCAGAACACGCGCTTGTTGCCGGCGGTTGAAGGTTCGGTTGGAGCATACGCGGCTACGAAGTTGACCGCTCCACGGTGGCCTGCCAACAGAAACCTCATGGCCATAAGGCGTTCGTCGATAAACTCCGTAGTGAACGTGGATGTCTTGCACAGTGACTCTCTGACGGCTATCCCCACACCATGGACTCCACCAGTCTCCGTGCCACAGCAGAACACCCGGAAACCCGCTGCTGCAAATTTTGTTCAACCTGCCCTCCGTGTCTCCTACATTCCTACCACCGATATGTCTTGTCTCGCTGCCTCGTGTAGAACGCTGTAGGTTCGCCCGTATCCATTGGCCCCGTTTACAGCCAAAGTTCGCACATTCCAGGTTGCTACCCTAAGAAGTTGATCCTGCTGTCTCTTTCGCGCGGCGCGCGCTGCTCTCTTAGCTAGCCTGCGCGTCGCCTGACCCCTCCTTTTCCTCCATCTTCCCCTCTTTTTTTTGTTTTTTTGCTATTTTCTTGCGAACACTCGGGCTGACGTGATAGTTACCCCGGTTTTTGCCTTGTTCCCCGTAGAGTTGTATTCTTGTCCCGGAGCGGTGTGGCCCTCCATCTCTGGACTCTCTCCTTTCCTCTCTCTGGGGCATACCCCCACGGCGTGCGGTCACCCCGCCACCCTTACCGTGCTCTCTGCTGCTGCATAGCCCCGGTGTCCAAGCCGGGGCGTTAGGATCCAGTCTCATGTTGCAGCTACCAAAGCTGGCGGTTCACGAGCTACCCCGATCTCACGACAGCAGTAGCTCCCAACCGCCGAACTCAGGATCCCCCTCTCAACGGTGCTAGGGACCGTATATCCGTCTTTGCTGGGTGGTCTTTCGAGGTCTAGATCCACTTTGCGGAACCTCGGCCTACCCCAGGGACGGGGGGGGGGCAGGTCGGGGAGGTGTATGGTACTGTTTGAAGGCGAGTGTTGAGAGTGCAAAGTCGGCGGCAACAGAGGAGCGTTAGCTTTCCTGCTTTTATTTTCACGGTTGTTCGTTTTTTTTTTCTTTTTTTTTTGAATGGGAGTGTGTCTGGCCGCCGCTGCCGCGCGACGTTGTGTTGTTGCCGAACGCGTTTGGTCGAGAGATGCTTGTGATACAATGTTTTTGTTATTTTCTTCGTCTGCTTGGGCGCCTGCGACACATTTGTCCGTGCAGTCTACGACCACGCCTCCGGTCGGCAGTCCCTTCCCTTCCCTTCCCTCCCCAACGAATCTAGCCCCGAGCCCCTATACCCCTACCGCCAATCCCCTGTTCCATAGTTCATACCCCCCACCCCACGTCCCCGAAGCCCTGATCCCGACCCCCGATCTCCTAACCCTTCATCCCCCCGATCTCCTCTTCCCCTTTTCCCCTGTTCCCTAGTTCGTACCCCCCACCCCATGTCCCCGAACCCCGAACCCCGAACCCCTGTTCCCGATCCCCGATCCCCTAACCCCTAACCCCTAACCCCCCCCGATCCCCTGTTCCCTGTTTCGTGCCCCCCACCCCATATCCCCGAACCCCTCTTACCCATCCCCTGACTAACCCCTATCCCCCGTCACTCTTCGCCCCATCGCCAGCTGGTGCAAGACTCTCAAGAAAGGTTGATCTACATGGCCACCAAAGTTATCCAGGTGAAGGAAGGCACAGCAAGCAGTGACGTACAGTAGTAGCGAGGAACGAACGGAATCGGTGTCCCATCCACCTGGGGTGAATTTGTTCAGGAAGGCCGACCCCGTTTCCCACGTTTGCTGGAAGCGTTTTCTCGGCCGTGGAACATGCTGGGGTTACGTTTAGCGCGCACCACTGCAGGTTGTAGAAGGAGCGAGCGGTGTTTGATCGTGCGTTGTAGATTGGTGTTGCTGAGCGAGTGCTGTGTCTTTCCTGACGCGCGTCTTGATGTGACGACGACCCCGCCCCACCCGTTGATTCTGCCGCGAGACTTGCGCCGCTTTGTCTGTCTCTCTCTCGCCGTGTTCCGTTTCGCTCTACCGCACGCCGGCTTCATATGCACCATGACAACAACCGCACGTAGGACGACATCGCAAGCTTCCGACCCACGCCCGAAGACCTCGATTACCCCGGCATGCTCCTACGAGCAGCGAGGGGCGGTGGCACCAGCGACGGCTTAGTCAACGCTAGGACAGGGGCGGGGGATCAGCCGTCGCCTTCCTCTCCTCCTTCTTCTACTAAGGGGAGCGCGCCGGCTTACACGACGTGGTACCCACCGCTGCGATCGACGCTTCAGGTGCTGCTGGATGCGCGTGGTTGTGTGTGGGTATTACCTTGCCGTAGTGTGTGTTGGTATTACCGTACCGTAGTATGTGTTGGTATTACCGTAGTGTGTGTTGGTATTACCGTACCGTAGTGTGTGTGGGTATTGCCGTGCCGTAGTGTGTGTTGGTATTACCGTACCGTAGTATGTGTTGGTATTACCGTAGTGTGTGTTGGTATTACCGTACCGTAGTGTGTGTTGGTATTGCCGTACCGTAGTGTGTGTTGGTATTACCGTACCGTAGTGTGTGTTGGTGTTGAGAGTTTTCGTCACTTTTTCGTTGTTGGCGAAATCGTCGTTGATGTTGCTTGTTGGAGGTGTTGAGAAACCGTCGCTGTCGTCTAAATTGGTGTTGAAATCCTCGGTGTTCTTGTTGCTTGTTGACGGTGCTGAGAATCCGTCGCTGTTGCCTGTAGCATGTAGTGTTGCACTCTTCGTTGTTGACGTTGTTGCTGTGGGTGTTAGCGATGAATGGAACGCTCGTCTTTATCCCGGCCATCTTGACTACTGTCTTAACTGACTGTCTTCGACTTGACCCAGCCTCGAAGACACCTCCACAGAACCACGCCCACGGAGAACAAGGTTTTCCAGGAGAGATTGCCCTTTCAATACCGCCTTTAAGAAGAACACACACACGTACTGACGTCTTTTCATCGGTCAGCCGGTTAGCGCGGTCGATTCTAATAAGGAATACACACACGCACCTGAGAAAAGCAACGCCAACTACTGCCACCACCACCACCACCCCAAAGGGGTGTATGCCCCTCCACCTGCCCTTCGGTTGAATCAGACGGCGGGGATGCTGATGTAGAGGGGCATGTATCCGCTATCCCCGCATATCCTCGGGATGTCAAAAGTGTTGGGAAACCCCCCGCGTGATGTGTATTTTTTTTCTTTTTTTTCGTCTTCCAGGTAGGCGACAACGAGTAGGTTTTGACAAGAATGTTCTCCGTTAATACATGTGGGTTGAATGAGACAGTGTGGGATGTGACCTCCGTCGATGTATGTGGGTTGTGTGATGCGACGGTGCGGACTGTGACACGGTGCGAAAATTTGTGATGCGATGCAGGTGCTCAGCAAGGTGTACCGCGCGGTGGACATGGGAGTCTTCGAGGACCTGGCCCAGCTGTCGGTGGCGGCGTGCGCGGAGTCTTTGAAGGTGATGAGATGGTTGACGTGGTTCACTCATTCACTAATGACTGTGGTTGGGTCTCCGATGGGATACCGGGTTTTCCGGCGTTCCGGTACACTAGAGAAACAGAGGCTCAACTATGATTTTTCCACGAAGATTATTAATAGTAAAACGGAGATCGTTTACTGAACTCTAGTGTTGAAAAATGGGGATCGTGCATACGACACTTAGACTCTAGTAGAAACCCCCTTCGACGAAAACCCGGAAGGCACATCGCTCCGTTCCGGCATTATGCAGGGATGACTCGAGGTCAATGGTCTATCGGACACGGCATGGGTGTACATGAGTACCCGCCCGCCCCTTTCTCCGTTGCACTCGCGAACAGAAAGCGGCGGTCTCGATCAGCGCCGGCGTTACAGCAGGCTCGGCGCCATCGCCGCCGGTGTCCAGCGGGGGGGGAGGGCGGGGGGCACCCGGAGGGGCGTTGGCGGGGGGCTCCGTAGCAGCAGCAGTAGCAGCAGCAGCAGCACCCCCCGCAGGGTCGGGGGAAGGGGGTCTCGACGCCCAGCTGTTCCTGATCAAGCACCTGCTGACGCTGAGGGAGCAGCTGACGCCGTTCCACATACAGTTCGTGCACGCGGAGCAAAAGCTCAACTTTGGGTCCACAAGGTGTGAGTTGGAACCCTTGTTTAGAGACGAAAACTATCGTCTGCCGAGCCTATGTACCCCGGAGGAAAAGGCGGGGGCAACAGAACAAAACTAAACAGTATTTAACTCTCCTTTTTGGGACCTCAGCTGATCCGTCAAACGTGGTTGCCGAAAGGTGTGTATAGTAGACTGGTACGAGCACACACACACAAGGTTAGTTGGTTGTTGTTGTTGTTGTTGTTGTTGTTGTTGTTGTTGTTGTTGTTGTTGTTGCTGGTTTTACTAGCTCTTCGGAGGGTCCCACGGTTTTGGTGTTTGTGGCGACGGATGTCGGCGGCACTCCAAGTACGAAGCGGTTTGTTTTCCATGCATACAGAAGTTTTTTCGGATGGTTAGCAGTGGGAGAGACTGTTCGGGGAGCTGTTGGTCTGTTCCCGAGCGAATTCCGACATGTTTCAGAGCAGCATTCGACAGTTTCATTCACTGAACAGACAGACGATTTGAGCAAGGTACTTTTTTGCTCTGAGTCTGCGCATTTTTTTCAACTTCTTTATCAGCTTTTAGACCGCTGCGTTTACTGAAGAAACGTACTGAACAAACCTACTTCGTCGTATGCTCTCATTTTTATTATTATTTATTGTATATGTTCGTCCAGGATGGCCTTGCGGAAATTCATCAGGCACACGCCCGCCCTGTTCCGGCTTTCGAGCAAGAACGCCCTGGTGGAGCTGACGGTGGACAGCATCCCCACCATCGACGAAGTCCAGGCAAGTACAAATATCTAGGTAGACATTCCGCAGGTGTGTGACGCAAGATATCACACCCCCTTGACCGATTGTTCGAAGCTCGATTTCTCCACCAGCAGCAGAGAGAGGCAGCGGCGAAAACGGCGGTATCGAAGCCGTCTCGTCGAGAGCTTTTCGCCAAAGGTATCATCGGCTCAGGTGTGCATCCTTCCTCGTCGCGGGGTCATCGAGCTTTGAAAAATTGAGAGGCAGTACAAGTTGGTCGGATGTGTGCGGCCTCCTATCTGTGGCGTGGTTCTGCGGGGTACGTTTGAATCCGTAGCAATTCTTGCTTGAAGNGGGGGGGGGGGGGGGGGGGGGGGGGGGGGGGGGGGGGGGGGGGGGGGGGAGGGTTTCGAGGAGGAGGTTTCACGGGAGGGTCCAGCGTCCGGGTTGAGAATTGTTTTTACGACGGCGCCAACATGTCGTACGCAACTTTCCTTCCTTCTGCGCCACGCAATCCTCGCCAAGCGTTGATGCGTCTTTCGGCGTGTACGTGTGTGTTTTTATTATTAGCATCGACCGCGCTAACCGGCTGACCAATGAAAAGACGTCAGTCTCAGTGCGGTTGAAAACACAAAACACTTTTTATCTGCCATGAACTGGGACCCCGTCCGTGACGGGGCAGCATGGGGGAGGCTACACTATCCTTCGGATCGAAGACAGAAACAACAGCAACAGAAGAAAACTGCACCCGTCTACCAAGGCTATTACCTTGTACTCGAGTTCGTTCAGGAGTACTTTTACCATTATCCTCCTTGTTTTCCCTACCATCATGTATGTGTGTGTGTGTGTGTGTTTGTTTTGTTTGTTAGCATCGACCGTGCTAACCGGCCGACCAGTGAAGACGTCAGTCTCAGTGCGGCTGAAAACAGAAAAATTGTCATTCCAAAGGCTACCATGATCTTGGGAGGATCCCCCCCCCGTGAGGGAGCGTCATGCGGGAGGCTGAGCTACTCTCCGGAGTAGTAAAAAAACAAGTAGTGTTTTTTGTGTGTGCTGACGTGTGGGATGCGCCGCCTTGATGGTTCTTGTCGTGTCTCAGGTGGATGCCAAGGGAGACATGGAGGCTTCCCTCAAGTCGGCTTGCAGCGCGTTCATCACGTGCGCCGTCGAGCTGGTGGCCTCGCCGCTGCTCTCCTGGATCAACAAGGTCAAGTGGTGGAGTATAGTACAGATGATGNGGGGGGGGGGGGGGGGGGGGGGGGGGGGGGGGGGGGGGGGGGGGGGGGGGGGGGGGGGGGGGGGGGAGGCGTGCGTAGTCGCGTTGTGCATGCCTTAGCGGTTAGACCATGGACCACGCGTCCTCGAGATGACGGAGCATGGTACCCACTCGGCCGATCACCGATGGCCAATCGTTCCTTCCTACTCTGTCAAAAGGCTTCATCATGTTTTGGGTGCCTTCGCGGTTAGACCATTGACCACCCGCCGTTGAGAGAGGACGGAGCATTTTGATAACCCTAGGGTGGGGGCGGGGGGGGCTCTTGTATCCCGATCACCACGCGTATTGCTTCATCGAAAGAAGCGGGATGGTATGCATTTGAGAATGCCGTGGCACACACAAGCTAATTGGCTGCGTTGGGTGGAGGCCTTCTCTCCCCTGTGCGCGTTTTAGCTCTCATGACCCTGGGGTTAACAACAGAGTTTTGACGACCGCTCTGTGGAGGTGGACACCATAACCCTTCCTTCCGACTGGCGTTTTGTTGGGGGGGGGTTCCGGGTAGGTGGTGACGTCATCAGCCCTCACTTCGCTTGAATGGCGCCAAAGCTCGAGAGAACACCCGCGTACCTCTCTGATATCGTCGCCCGTCTTATGGTGCATTTCCCTCTGTTTTGATTTGTTTTGTTTTTCTTCTCAAGGTGCGGAGGGAGACGTTAGACCACCAGCGTGTAAGGGAGGGAGCAAATAAGAGATTCGAGCCAAATCAAACAAACATCGAGAGCCAACCCCCCACTCCGCCACCGTTTGGCCCAAAGGCTTTCCAGCATGCATG